TGTCACCCAGGCTGGAGTGCAGTGGTGTGATCATAGCTCACTGCTGCCTCACATTCTTGGGCTCAAGTGATCCTCCTGCCTCAGCCTCCCAAAGTGCTGGGATTACAGGCATAAACCACCACACCTTGCCTCTTTCTTTAATTTTTTGCAGGCTGTCAACATCTCTCACCTAACTAATTTCAGCCCTATCCTTTGGTTGTCAAAAAGTTCTTAATTTTAGCAAGAATTAATCTTCTCAGTAAACTGCCATGGGTGTACTATGAGTTAAGTGTTTTTCTCAGTTGCTAAAGAGGCTGAGTTTTGTTCTGAGCCATGTAAACATTGTGTGTGTGCTTGACCTCTCCAGGATGAGATAAATGTGTGTTTCCCACTTTTTTGTTTTTCCTCAGTGAGATACAGCAGTTTCTCATCCAAACCACTTCTTCGTTTCTTGGTTATTTGCAAAGTCAGTCGTAACTTTTTAGCCCCTGTGTCTTTCAGCTCCGTTCCTTGTGAATGACTTTGCCCTTAGATTTTGATGCCCTTTCACTTTTTTGAATGGTCACATTCTTTCACCATTTAAGGTAGACTAAGGGGCCAGAGAAAAATTAAAATGCAAAGGAGGCTGTTTGAATTCCTCTTTCCTGGGAGACTCCTTAGTGGTCATTTTCTACTAAATGGCTGTTTTTGAATCTGTAACCGAATCATTTGTGGTGCAGACATCCTACTAATAGTTAACAAAAACTGTTAACAGATTCCAGCTCAATGTGTGAAACCACAGGTAGGCAGCAGAGGGAGCTTGACCTTGGTCTTGCCTGGTCCTGCTGCTACTCCTGGAGGCAGTGATACCAAGGCTTCTGATTCTGAGGAGGGGCGCAGGGGTTGTCTGCAACTGCCGTGCTCTTCCCCAGGCAGATTCAGAGCCTTGGAGCAGGTAAAGTACGTAAAGATGCTGAGCTAAGGCAGTTCAGACCAGGTGCTTGAATTCTGCCTCTTCATTTTTGATGAATCCCACAAATTCAGTGAAAAGTTCCTTGAAGCTGTTTGTGAGGTCACATTATTGTCATCAATGAACTGGTTTTTGAAGTGGCAATGGACTGTTAGTTACTCAGTAATTTAGTGGTTTTAAAAAGTGTCAAATGGCAGAGTACGGTGGCTCACGCCTGTAATCCCAGCACTTTGGGAGGCCAAGATGGGCAGATCCCTTGAGCTCAGGAGTTCGAGACCAGCCTGGGCAACAGGGTGAAACCCTGTCTCTACTAAAAATACAAAAATCAGCTGGGCATGGTGGCGCACACCTATGGTCCCAGCTGCTTGGGAGGCGGAGGTGGGAGGATCCCTTGAGCGAGATCACGCCACTGAACTCCAGCCTGGGTGACAGAGTGAGACTCTGTCTCAAAAAAAAAAAAGGATCAAGCCTCAGGTATTATTTTATAGCAACACGAAATGGACTAATAGAGGTTTCCTTAGTATTTCTTGTAGTCCTATTCTCCTGGGAACAAATTCTACTAATTTTTGTTTACTGAAAATATTTGTCCAATGTTTTAATGGTTGCTGATCTGATAGCTATGAAATGATATATTAAAACCTTTCTCCAATTGTTGCTAATGTATAGATTTTTAAGTATTGATTTTGGGTTTGTCAGCATTGCTAAAATCACCTATTCTATAATTTGTTAGTAGTTTCTTTTGCTTTTTGTTTCTGATTTTTTGTTGTTGTAGTAAAATACACATAAAATAAAATGTATCTTACTCATTTTAAGTGTACAGTTCAGTGGTATTAAATATATTGATGATGATGTGTGACCATCACCACCATCCATCTCCAGAACTCGTTCCATATTATTGAATGGAAACTGTTCCCACTAAACAATGACTCTCCATTTCACTCTCTCTCCAAATTCTTGAAACTACCATTTTAGTTTGTGTAAATCTGACGATGTTAAGTGCCTCATATAAGTGGAATCACTCAGTATTTTTCCTTCTGTGACTGGCTTATTTCACTTAGCATAATGTCCACCAGTTTCATCTGTGTTATAGCATGTATCAGAATTTCCTTCCTTTTTTAAGGCTGAATAATATTCCATTGTATGTATATGCCACATTTTGCTTGTTGATTCATTTGTCAGTGGACATTTGGATTGCATTCGTGTTGTAGCTCTTGTGAATAATGTTGCTGTAAACATGTATATACAAATATCTCTTTGAAACTCTGCTTTAGGTATATGCTCAGAAGTGGAATTACAGGATCATGTGGTAATTCTAGGTTTCATTGTCTGAGGAACTGCCACACTGTTTCCCATGGTGGCTGTAACATCTTACATTCTTACCAACAGTGCACAAGGGTTTTAATTTCTCCCCATTTTTGCTAACACTTATTTTTTTATAGTATCATCCTAATGGATGTGAAGTGGCATCTCGTAGTCTTGATTTGCATTTCCCTAATGATTACTGAGCATGTTTATATGTACTTATTGGCCATTTGTATATCTTCTTTGGAGGAGTGTTTATTCAAGTTCTTTGCCTATTTTTTTCTTGGTTGTGTGTGTGTATGTATTTTAAATGTTAAAAAAATACAAATAAATACATAAAAATATTTATTTGTATTAGCTATTCCATAATCTAAACATATTTTAAGACATCATGTTGTATACCAAAGATGAGTACAATATTTACCTGTCAATTTAAAATATATAAATTTTAAAAATACTCATATTTGAATTGTGAATTGGTTGTATGTATGTAATTCAAACATTTAAAAATACATACAAATAAATATATAAAATATGTACAATATATTTATTTATATTAGCTATTCCATAATCTATACATATTTCAAAACATCATATTGTATACCAAAGATATATACAATATTTACATGTCAATTTAAAAGATATAAATTTTAAAAATACTCATATTTGAATTGTGAATTTGCCTCAAATTCATACAAAGCAAAATGGTGGTTTCAAGAACTAGAGGGAGAGGGAAACAGGGAGTTATTGTTTAACGGGTACAGAGTTTCCATTTATAATGTGGAAAGAGGTCTGGACACGGATGGTGATGATAGTTACACAGCATCATTCATATTTAAAGATTTTTAAATTGACAGATTCAATAGTGTATATATTTTTTGGTGTACGACATGGATTTCCTTACAATGGGCTTCATCTTTCTCTGATGCCTCCCTGATAAGCTTAATAACTAACCTCCTAAATTCTTTTTCAGGTAAATCAGGGATTTCTTCTTTGTTTGGGTCCATTGCTGGTGAACTAGTGTAATTTTTTTAAAGGTGTTAAAGAACCTTGTTTTGTCATATTACCAGAGTTGGTTTTCTGTCTCCTTCTCCTTTGGGTAGGTTCTGTCAGAGGAAGGGCTAAGGCTGAAGGCTTCTTTTGTTCCACGGGGTGTTTCCTTGATGTAGCACTCTCCCCCTATTCCTATGATGTGGCTTCCTGAAAGCTGAGCTGTAGTGATCATTATCTCTCTTCTGGATCTAGCCACTCAGCAATTCTACCAGGCTCTGGCTGGTACTGGGGGTTGTCTGCACAGAGTTCTGTGATGTGAACCATCTGTGGGTCTCTCAGTCGTAGATACCAACACAGTATTTGGGGTGTCTCCTGGGTCCTGCAGGAGCAATCCACTTCCTTCAGGGAGTCTGTGGGTCCTCTCAGGTTTCCTGATTTATTTCTGCAGTTGTTCTGTAGCAAAAAGTAACAGTGTGAGCCTCCACATGCTGCTCTGTCTGTCCCAGTCAGAGCTGTGATCTAGTCCTGCCTCTCATCTGCCATGATTCCCATTGGTGTCTTTTGAAACAGTTTAAAACATTGATGAAGTTAGGTTTGTCAAAATTGATTGTGTTTTTGGTGTTGAATCTAAGAACTCTTTGCCTAACCCAAGGTTGGGAAGATTTTTACTTTTTCTTTTTCTAAAAGCTTTATAGTTTTAGCTCTTACATTCATGTCCATGATCCCTTTTGAATTATTTTATATTGTATATGACATAAAGTAAGGGTCCAACCTCATTTTATAAAATCCTAATACATTAAAAAATATGAATAGGCTTTATTTTAAGAATAGTTTTTAGATTTATAGAAAAATTGAGGGGGCAAGTACAGAGTTCCTCTGTTTCCCCTCCCCCAACAATTTTCTCTATTAACATATTGCATTAGTGTGGTACGTTTGTTGCAATTGATGAACCAATATTGATATATACATTAGTTTTCTAGGGCCTCCATAACAAAATACCACAGACTGGGTGGCTTAAACTAGGGGTCCCCAGGCCCCAGGCCATGGGCCGGTACCAGTCTGTAGCCTATTAGGAACTGGGCTGCACAGCAGGAGGTGAGTGCTGGGTGAGTGAGCGAAGCTTCATTTGTATTTACAGTTGCTCCCATTGCTCATGTTACCACCTGAGCTCAGCCTCCTGTCAGATCAGTAGTGGTATTGCATTCTCATAAGAGCACGGACCCTATTATGAACTGTGCATGTGAGGGATCTAGGTTGCTCCCTCTTTTTGAGAGTCTAAAGCCTGATGATCTGTCATGCTCTCCCATCATCCCCAGATGGGACCATCTAGTTGCAAGAAAACAAGCTCAGGGCTCCCACTGATTCTACATTATGATGAGTGTATACTTATTTCATTATATATTACAATGTAATAATAGAAATAAAGTGCACAATAAATGTAATGCACTTTAATCATCCTGAAACCATCTTCTCCCCTTCCTGGTCCATGGAAAAACTGTCTTCCATGAAACTGGTTCCTGATGCCAAAAAGGCTGGGGACTGCTGACTTAAACAACAGAAACTAATTTTCTCACAGTTAGGGAGAGACTGTGAGAAAGGTCAAGGTGTCAGAAGCTTGTTTTCCTCAGAGGCCTCTCTCCTTGGCTTGCAGATGGCTGCCTTCTCATTATGTCCATACTTGGTCTTTTCTCTACTTGAGTATTGCTGGTGTCTTCCTGGGTATCCAAATTTCTTCTTACAGAGACACTAGTCAGGTTGGACTAGTGCACACCCTAATGGCCTTGTTTTAGCTTCGTGACTTATTTTAAAGGTCTTATCTCCAAAGATAGCCACCTTCTGAGGTTTTGGGGGTTTGTGAATGTTGGAAACACACGGTTCAGCCTATAAGAATAGATGATTATTAACTGAAGTCCATAGTTTACATCAGGGCTCACCCCATATTGTACCATCTGTGGGATGTGACAAATGTTTAATGGCATGTGTCCACTGTTCTAGTATCACACAGAGTAGTTTCACTGCCTAAAAATCCTCTGTGCTCTGCCTATTCATCCTTCCTACTCCCAGCCCTTGTAACCACAGATATAAGATTTTTTTTTTTTTGGTGGGACCCAGTCTTACTCTGTCACCCAGGCTGGAGTGCAGTAACACGATGTCAGCTCACTGCAACTCCCACCTCCCCAGATCATGCAGCTCTCATGTCTCAGCCTCCCAAGTAGCTGGGACTACAGGCAAGAGCCACCACAGCTGGCTCATTTTTTGTATTTTTAGTTTTTTTTTTTTGAAGGAAAATTTGCATTAATTATTTTTATTTACAGAAACAGTGTATATTTAACCCAGTTTCATGGCAAGTTCTTTAGCCTTTGCCTTTTCTAGCTTGGCGATGCAAGCCACAGACTTGGGACCCAGGACATTACCTCCCCAGTGACGGCGGGTCTCATCCTATCTGCCATTGCAGTTGGTGCGGATAGCTTCCACCAGGTTAGCCAAAGCACCTTTGTCTTCCGAGTTAACGTGTGTGAAGGCGATAGTGGTGCAGGTCTTCCTGTGGACTAGACGTCCCAGTCTTGCCTTCCCCTTGATAATGCAGTAAGGGACTCCCATTTTACGACAGAGGGCAGGCAAGAAGACAACCAGCTCAATGGGATCCACGTCATGTGCAGTCACCACCAGCTGAGCTTTCTTGTTCTCCACCAAGGTGGTGACGGTGTTAACTCCTGCTCAAAGGACAGGTGGTCTCTTCGTGGGGACGTCCCCTTTGCCAGCCGCTTTCTTCTTGGGCCTGGCCAACAGCCTCTGCTTCTTTTCTTGCTTCGTCTCTGGTCTGTACTTGTGGGCCAGCTTAAGCAGCTGAGTAGCTGTTTGGCGGTCCAGGGCCTGGGTGAACTGGTTAATTGCAGGAGGCACTTTCAGCTGCTTACAGAGGATGGCTCTCTGCCGCTGCAACCTGATGTAGCGGGGCCATTTCACAAAGCAGGTGAGGTCTCTTTTGGGCTGGATGTCTTGTCCAATACCAAAATTTTTAGGCCTTTTCTCAAATAGTGGATTCACCACTTTCTTGGCCTCCTGCTTCTTCATGACAGCAGGGGCCGGAGCCACCTTCTTCCCCTTGGCCTTCTTTCCTTTCGGCATCTTGGGCGGCGGGAAGAGCGTATTTTTTGTATTTTTGAGGAATGCATTGTTAAGCGTTTGCGTCATTGTGTGAACATGATTGGATGTTCCTATAAGACTCAGTGGCAGAGCCCGCTACACACCTAGGCTGTAGAGTATGGCCTGTCATCTCTAGGCTACAAACCTGTACAGCTTGTTACCCTACTGGTTTCTAGAGGTGATTGTAACATAATGGTAAGTATTTGTCTATCTAAACCGGTGTTTAGTTGCAGAATTACAAAGAGGATTTTGATAGAGCTAGCACTGAGTTTACAGATCATTTTGGGAAGAATTATCTTATTAATTGAGTCATCCAATCTATGAACATGGAATTTATCTTCATTTATTTAGATCTTCCTTAATTTCTCTCAACAATGTCTGGTAGTTTTCGGTGTACAAGACAATTCTTTTCTTAAACATACTCTTAATTATTTACTTCTTTTAAAATACCATTGTAAATGAAATTGCGTCTTTATTTAATATTAAGCCTTTTTAGTTTTGGAAGATTTCACTATTACAAGAACACTGCTCTCATCTTCTATATATTGAAATAATATAATTGCAAGCAAGTTGCTTCTCTCATTTCAAGTGCATCGAGGTTGAAATCCTAAATATTTTATAGTTACTGTCTCAAGAGAAATGAGTCTCTTTATTCACCACAGATAATTTATTTTTAAATTCATTTTTGGTATGAAATAGTAAGCTTATTTAGCTAACAATTCTTTTGGTTGGCATTTTAGGCTGAGCTCAGCTGGGTGGTTTTCTAGTCTAGGTGGGCTTTTTGTGTATTCATGGTGACCTGCTTGTTAGGTGGCTCTGCTGCTTGGGGCTGGCTAGACATTGGCTGGGATCGCAGTAGTGCCTGGGCCATATTCCTTTCAGGTAGTGGGCTACCTTGGGCTTGCTTTTGTGGTGTGTTTCAGGGATCCTAGAGGGAACACAGGTGCAGCATACCCCGGGAGGCCTAGGATTAGGGTGGTGGTGCTGTCACTCTGCCTCATTCTGTTGACCAAAGTGAATCACAAGGCCAGCTGGAATTGAAGGTGAGGGGAAATTGATCCCATCTCTTGATGGGAGGAGCTTCAAAATCAGTTGCAAAGGGGCATGGACATAGGAAGGAAGTAATCGTGGCCATTTTTGCAAACAGTTCACTATGGCAGGTGTATCTTTGCAGTTCGATCTGGCTGGTTAGAATCTGAGTCATTTTTGTTTGTTTGTTTGGGAAATTACCCACTTCTGAATCTCGGGAGGGACAAATACCACTGCTTCCAACAGGAGCTGAAAATGCTCCATATTTGTTTTCTTCTAACATTGCATGTAGGGCATGGGCACCTGTGCAGTTTAGAGGTGAGGAATGCGAGCTGGTAAGCTCAGTGTGGAATTGGAGTTCTGGTTACAGTGTTGACAGAGGTGCCTGGCTGAAAGGCCATGTTCTCATTGGAGAAATGGCAACTGTGCTGGTGTTGACTATGGTTGCAATATGGTTAAGCTGTGGGTAAAAAGTTGGGAGGGTGCCTGTTGTCACCTCTCTTGTTCTGCTGTAGTAGGGCCATCAATATTTCATGAGAAGTAGGACCTGATGCTGCATCTATTTGGAGTAAGTGCATTTTGCTATAATTGGACATAGTAAGCCCTTGCTAGTGTTACTGAAACAAGTCTGTACCCTAGAGATGGGTCGAATTGGTCTCTTCAGGTTTCACTTCTGCAGGGAGATGGTTGATGTTGCCAGGTTTGCTCCAAGAGTCTCATTGAACCATGTGCAGTGAAGGGAGGAATCTGAGGAGGGTGCTGCATGAGTGCCCTCACTCTGTATCGTCTCCCAGGTTCACCTTTCATTTCAGCCCAGTGGTCTAATATCATGTGAGTTTTTCAAGAATACTGATCAATCACTTGGAGAATGATCTGCTATTTTAGCCTCACTTGTTTAGCTTGTAAAACTGATCATGTTTCCATGAGGTACCCATGACTCTGGCTGTGCAGGGGCCCTGCAGGGTCCTGGTGGGTCAGCCACGAGCCCAGGGGACAGTGTGTGTCTCTTTCTTTACCTGCAGGCAGCCTGTGTGGCAGTGGCACAGGTGTGTGCTACCTGCTACCTGTCTTTGACACCGTGTTTGTCAGGAGGAAACACCGGCGCCAAGGCCTGGGAACGGCCATGCTGCGGGATTTCTGTGAGACATTCCCAGATGACGAGGCCCTGGGGGTCAGCTGCCCAATGTCCCCTGCTATGTACCAAGGTAAACCCCCCTTGAATTGTACTGAAGCGTATGGCAATGGATAACACACATGCATTCCAGGGGATTCTGGAGGCAGAGGCCCTGGGGAGCCCTCGTGGGCAGATGCAGGCCTTGGCGGGGCAGCACGCACGTGGGGGTTTCCTTCCCTCTGAGAAATCTCCAATTACTGCAGCACAAGCTGAGACTTCATGTTTGATCACAAGGAGTGAACTTCTCCCAAGCTGGAAAATAATTGGATTCAGAAACAATCACAAACAAATCAATGAGCTCAGAGAGGAGGGAATCTGGGGAGCTGCCGCCATGCTGTGGGCTGCAGGGCTTTGGAGTGCCTTTGCTCTTCCACTTGACACCTGTATTTCCTCACTTTGTCCTTTGAACTTGAAGCCACGGGAGAGCCTAAGAGCTGAAGGGAAGGCAGGAACTGGGTGGAAGGGCAAGCTCTGAATGGGCTCAGCTTTCCAGCACCTCTGTAGCTCTCTACGCACAAGACGCCTCCCTCCCATATCCTTTATCCACGTTTGTCAGAGGAGGATGAAACAGCTCTGATGTGAAACATCACACCCTAAGGTGACGAGGGTGGGAGGCTCTGGAGAGCCTGTCTCTGAGCCCCCCCTCCCCTATGAAGCACACACACCCTACTTTGTGCCCTGCCTCTGTTCTGGGTGTGTAGCTGTTTTTGAATGCTTAGTATCCAGTTTCTGGTGTCTTTTTGGCTCAAGGGTTAGGAGAGAACAGTTAGGAAAAGCCAGGAAGCTTCTGTTGCTGTGAAGTCATAAAGAAAAGCAGGTAAAAACATCGTTTTCCTCAAGTGGGTCTGCTTGTTTCTATGTATTTTCAAACTCAGTCTGTTGTTAAACTCTGAAGAGCCTTGGATTTCTGCAAAGAGCACTTGAGGCTTCTTGCACCGTGTAGCTCACTTTCAGGTGCTGGAGCATTCGGGGGCCTAGGCAGCTGGTCCTCTGTCCAAACCCATGTCCTTCCAGTCCCTCTCCTCCTCCTGTTTTTTTTTGAGACGGAGTCTCACTCTGTTGCCAGGCTGGAGTGTAGTGGTGCAATCTCTGCTCACTGCAACCTCCACCTCCTAGGTTCAAGCAATTCTCATGCCTCAGCCTCCCAAGTAGCTGGGACTACAGGCACACACCACCACATCCAGCTAATTTTCATATTTTTAGTAGAGATGGGGTTTCACCATGTTGGCCAGGATGGTCTTGATCTCCTGACCTCATGATCCTCCTGCCTCAGCCTCCCAAAGTACTGGGATTATAGGTGTGAGCCATCATGCCTGGCCCCTCTCCTCTTTCTTGCTTCAGGTGCAGACCACCTCCTGGTTTTAGGAGGCTTTGCTGAGGGAGTGGGAGAGAGTGCTTTACTCAAAGGAACAGTGGGCTCCAAGGTTAAGGGCTGGACTGCTGAGCCTGGGTCAGCCTTGCTAAGACCCTGTAGGTCCCTGTGCTCCCTGCTGTCCCTCCACTGTCTTCGCCTGCAAAGAAAGTTCTGAATAGGCTGATTCTGACTCATGCTACTGCTCTCTGGGCTTCAGCCACCCAGGTTTCTATTGAGTTCTGTGGTGCCTTCCGACTGGACAGGACAGACTCCTGCCCTGGGCCCCAAGCTTTGAACTCTCTTTCAGCTGCATCTCCCTCTGCGGGGGCAAAGATTCCATGAGCCCAAGAGGAGGTGTCCTCCTGGCCCACACTGCTCCTCCTAAACTGGCTCAGGGTACCAGGACCCCAGGATTCCTGCCAGTGGCCACTGTGGGGCCGAGTGGACGTCATCCCTGGGTCTGTGCTCATGAGGGTGATCATGCCACCAATTTGTACATCCTTAGAGCCCAGGGAGGATCTTGGGGGGCTGTGGACAGTGTGTGGGAAGGCGGCCACATTTCTACTCATAGGCCTCTTAGGTATCTATCGGGGGCTGGGGTGGGTGGAGAAGGGGGTGGACTGCAGGCTGGGGGCCAGCTCGCTTGGTATTGCCACATACTGGTGCAATGCTCCAAGGAGTCCAAGAATTCTAAATTTGAAACGAGCTTCTCCTGTTGTTAGGAAGTTATATTTGTCAAGATAGGAGGGCAGAGCGTGTCATATATAGCGCTTTGCTAACTTGGTTTGTACCTTTGGAAGACAGGCATTCCTCATTTCACTGCTCTTCCCTTGATTGCACTTTGCAGATGCTGTGTGTTTTATATTGTGAAGGCTGTGGCAGCCCTGCTTCGAGCAAGTCTTCTATCAGGGACACTTTTCCAACAGCATGGGCTCGCTTCATGTCTCTGTGTCAGATTTTGGTAATTTTCACAATATTTCAAACTTCTTTATTATTATTGTATCTGTCCTGGTGATCTGTGATCAGTGATATTCGACATTACTGTCATAATTGTTTTGGGGCACCCCAAACCATGCCCATGAAAGTCAGTGAACTCAATTAATGCATGAGCCTGTTCTGACTCTGCTAGTGACCAGCTGTTCCTTCCTTTTCTTCCTGTTCCTTGAGATACAATAATATTGAAATTAGGTCGACTAATAACCCTACAATGGCCTCTGAATGTTCAAGTGAACAGAAAAGTCACATGTCTTTCACTTTAAATCAAAAGCTAGAAATGACTAAGCAAGGAAGGCATGTCGAAGGCTGAGGTAGGCTGAACACTAGGCTTCTGGCACTAGCTGGCCAAGATGTAAATACAAAGGAAGAATTCTTGAAGGGAATGAAAAGTTCTACTCCTGTGAACACACAAATCATAAGCAAGTAAAGCAGACTTACTGCTCACAGGGAGAAAGTTTTAGTGGTCTGATAAAAGTTCAAGCCGGCCACAACATTGCCTTAAGTCAAAGCCTAACCCAGAGCAAGTCCCTGACTCTCTTCCATTCTGGGAAGGCTGAGAGATTTGAGGAAGCTGCAGAAGAAAAGTTTGAAGCTAGCAGAGATTGGCTGATGACGTTTGAGGGAAGACATCATCTCCATAACATAAAAGTGCAAGGTGAAGCAGCAATTGCTGATGCAGAAGCTGCAAAATTTACCCAGAAGATCTAGCTAAGAATGTTGGTAAAGGTGGCTGCACTACACAACAGATTTTCAATGTGGGTGAAACAGCCTTCTACTGGAAGAAGATGGCATCCAGGACTTTCATAGCTAGAGAGGAGAAGTCAGTGCCTGGCCTCAAAGCTTCAAAGGACAGGTTGAGTCTCTTGTTAGGGGCTGATGTAGCTGGTAGCCTTCGGTTGAAGTCCACACTCATTTACTCATCTGAAAATCCTAAGGTCCTTAAGAATAATGCCAAATTGGCCAGGTGTGGTGGCTCACATCTATAATCCCAGCACTTTGGGAGACTGAGGCTGGTGGATCATGAAGTCAGAAGTTCAAGACTAGCCTGACCAACATGATGAAACCACCTCTCTACTAAAAATACAAAAATTAGCTGAGCATAGTGGCATGTACCTGTAGTCCCAGCTATTCAGGAAGCCGAGTCAGGAGAATCGCTTGAACCTGGGAGGCAGAGGTTGCAGTGAGCTGAGATCACGCCATGTCACTCCAGCCTGGGTGACAGCAAGACTCCATCTCAAAAGAGAAAAAAAAAGAAGTATGCCAAATCTATTCTGTCTGTCCTCTAGAAATGGAAAAACAGTGCCTGGATGACAGCACATCTGTTTACAGCATGGTTCAGTGAATAATTTAAGCCCGCAGTTGAGACCTACTGCTCAACTGTGGGCTTAAATTATTCACTAAACCATGCTTTCAAAATATTACTGCTCATTGACAATGTACCTGGTTATCCAAGAGTTCTGATGGACATATACAAAGAGATTAATGTTGTTTCCATGCCTGCTAACATAGTATCCATTCTGCAGCCTGTGGATCAAGGAATAAATTCAGCTTTCAAGTCTTATATAAGAAATACACTTTCTAAGCCTATAGCTTCCACAGGTAGTGATTCCTCTGATGGATCTGGGTAAAGTACATTGAAAACCTTTTGGAAAGGATTCACCATTCTAGATGCCATTAATAACATTTGTGATTCCTGGAAGGTCAAAATATCCACATACACAGGAGTATGGAAGAAGTTGATTCCAAACCTCATGTATGACTTTGAGGGAGGAGTCCAAGACTTCAGCAAAGGAAGTCACTGCAGATGTCGTGGAAATAAAAAGAGAACTAGAATCGGAAGTGGAGCCTGAAGATGGGACTGAATTACTGCCATCTCATGATCAAACTTGAACAGTTGAGAAGTTGCTTCTTATGGATGAGCAAAGGAAGTGGGTTCTCGAGTTGGAATCTCCTCCTGTTGAAGATGCTGTGGACATTGCTGAAATGACAACAAAGGATTTGGAATATTCCATAAATTAGCTGATAAAGCAGCAGCAGCAGCAGCAGGGTTTGAGAGGATGGACTCCAATTTTGAAAGAAGTTCTATTGTGGGTAAAATGCTATCAAACAGCATCACATGTTGCAGAGAAATCTGTTGTGAAAGGAAGAATCAAATTGGTGGAAGAAACTTCATTGCTGTGTTATTTTAAGAAATTGCCACAGCAACCCCAGCCTTCAGCAACTGCCACCCTGAGAGGCCATCAACTTTGAGACAAGACCCTCCACCAGCCTAAAGATTATGACTCAGAAGGCTCAGATGATCACTACTGTTGTTTAGCATTAAAGTATATTTTATTTAATTAAGGTATGTACATTGTAGTTTTTAGACAAAATGCTATTGCAGGCTTACTAGACTGTAGCATAGTATAAACATAACTTTTATATGTATGCACTAGGAAACCAAAAAATTCACGTGACTTGCTTTACTGTGATATTTGCTTTATTGCGGTAGTCTGGGACAGAACACACAGTATCTCTGAGGTCTGCCTGCACTTAGCATTGTACTCTTTAGGTTTCCATCTGTGCTGTTTCCCAGGGACCCCAAAATGTTAGGAAGCGGGTTTAATGGAGTCCCCATGGGCATCTGCAGAACCAGGAGCAGTTTCTCATTCACCTGGATTCGGGACATTGCCATGTGAAAATGTTCACCCATGAATGCAGGCGTAAAAGTCTGGGAACCTTGAGTGGACTCTGGAATCCAGGAGGGAGCAGAGGATAAGCCTGAAGGTTCTTTGGGAGGGAGGAAGGACGGTGCATGAAGAGTGGCCAACGTGGATGGTGCTGTGGACTAAGTTGTGCCCCCCACCCAAATTCATATGTTGAAGCCCTTGATATGACCACATTTGGAGATAGGGCCTTTAAAAAGCTAATTAAAAGGCTGGGTGTGGTGGCTCATGCCTGTAATCCCAGCCTGACCCATGTGGAGAAACCCCATCTGTACTAAAAATACAAAAATTCGCCGAGTGTGGTGACACATGCCTCTAATCCCAGCTACTTGGGAGGCTGAGGCAGAAGAATCGCTTGAACCTGGGAGGTGGAGGTTGTGGTGAGCCAAGATTGCGCCATTGCATTTCAGCCTGGGCAAGAAAAGCGAAACTCTGTCTCAAAAAAAACGGCTAATTAAGGTTGAATGAGGTCCTAAGGGTGAGCCCCTAGTCCAGTATGACTGGTGTCCTTGTAAGAAGAGAGGGACCAGGATGAACCCAAATAGAAACAGCTGTGTGAGGACACAGGGAGAAAATGGCCATTCATAAGCCAAGGAGAGAGGCCTCAGGAGAAACCAAGCCTGGGCCACCTTGATCTTGGATGTCCAGCCTCCAGGATTGTGAGAAATAAATTTCTGTTGTTTAAACCAGTGGTCCCCAACCTTTTTGGCTCTAGGGAAGACAGTTTTTCCACGGATGGGGCAGGGACAAGGGGTTGGTTTCAGGGTGATTTAAGTACATTACATGTATTTCTTGTGTACTTTATTTCTATTGTTATTACATTGTAATATGTAATGAAATGGTTATACGGCTCACCATCATGGAGAATCGGTGGGAGCCCCAAGCTTGTTTTCCATGTCCCATCTAGGGGTGATGGGAGATAGTGACAGATCATCAGGCATTAGATTCTCATAAGGAGCATGCAACCTGGATCCTGCACATGCCCAGTTCACAATAGGGTTCATGCTCCTATGAGAATCTAATGCAGCTGCTGGTCTGACAGGAGGACTTTTTCAGGTGGTAATGTGAGCACTGGGAGCAGCTGTACATACAGATGAAGCTTTGCTCGCTTGCCCGCTGTTCAGCTCCTGCTGTGTGTTTTGGCACTGGTCGGTGGCCCAGGGCTTGGGGAGCCCTGGTTTAAACCACACAGTCTGCAGTGTTTTGTTATAAAAACCCTAGTAAATGAACGCAGATGAGAGGGCTTGTGGGAAGTAGAAAAGTTCCTTTTAAAATTTCCTTTCTTGTTAAATAATAAGTGTGCTAATAACTTTGTTAAGCCCTATCCTGTGTAGCTGTTAGACATGCCATGCTTATAGGCACATAGTACACTCTATGTCCTTGTACTTTAATCAAGAAATCTGTGCTGGACGTGCTCACAAGCTTGTCCCAGCTCTCCACTGGTTTAACCTGTTCAGAAAGTTTTACGTTGTTAGCCAATCGGGTTTTAGTTTAGATTGTGAGGTCTGGCTCCAGCCAATGAAGATCAGACACAGCAGTAAGGATGACCCCAAATGCGTAAGGGATACATTTGTGTGTTTTCCTTTGTTCGCTGTACTCTCGTGGCAAGATGGCTAGTGACAGTACCCATCCTGCAGTCCAGGAAGTAAAAATTGCGTTGCCGAAATTGTGTTTCAGTCTGACTTATAGTCTGGAAGTCTGTAAGATCCTTTGTCTCAGTGCTGATTTTTCTTTGTGGCATCCAGCACCTATTTCCAACATCTACCTCCAACAGGGGCAGAGATGAGAGATCCTCACCAGGAGGAGCCGGGAGTTGGATGTGTCCATGGTAGGCAGATGAAAAAGTGGTTTGAGTGCAGCAGGGATTCCAGCAGAGAGCAGGGGCGGTGGGGGTAGTGGAGGGCTGCTTGAGAAGGACTGGAGTAGGCCATGTCTGAGACCCAGAGAGTTGGTACAGAGTGAACCAGAGTTAGGTGGGGGACTTCCTGACTCACGCTGCGTTCCTTCCTCCCAGTCTGTAGGCAGTTCCTGCTGGTCTGTCCAGAAGAGCGAGGGCGTTTGTGGGAGGTGAAGCCCCCAGGGGCCTGGGGCCAGCGCATCAACATCTGGCTAAAGGTTCAGCTTCAGCCAAGACTTCCAGACTGTAAGTCAGACTGAAACACTGCCCTGCATCTGTCTAGTTACTTCTAGTGTCAACACTAGTATGGATTAATTTACGGTGATCTTTTTTTTTTTTTTTTTGAGATGGAGTGTCATTCTATTGCCCAGGCTGGAGTGCTGTGGCGCTATCTCGGCTCACTGAAACCTCTGCCGCCCAGGTTCAAGCAATTGTCCTGCCTCAGCCTCCTGAGTAGCTAGGATTACAGGTGCCTGCCACTGTGCCCAGCTAATTTTTGTATTTTTAGTAGAGACAGGGTTTCACACTCTTGGCCAGGCTGGTCTTGAACTTCTGACCTCGTGATCCACCTGCCTTGGCCTCCCAAAGTGCTGGGATTACAGGGCGAGCCACCTCACCTGACCCCCAAGTCGCTGTTTTGACGGTGCACTTTCCACTTCTCTCAAGTGGGGAAGGGCTGCCTACGGCAAGCGCTTCTCAGCTCAGTGATAAGAGGTGAGGCCAGGCCAGGGCTGGGGCAGCGGACGCCTCCAGGCTGCAGGTGCTGCTGTGGGTGGGAGATGAGGGGGACAGTTAATTTAAATTAACTGTCCAAAATGAAAGCCCCAGCTCTCCTTCCTTCTTGGGGTGGGTGCTCCCATCAGCATCGAATCACATTTGTGCAGCTGCAGGTGGCTCATTAGGGGTTGACGGGCAGCCAAGGTGCCAGGCTTTCTCTCCACATGCTAACTGATCCACCTTAGCTGTTGACAGGTGAGAGTGCCTTGGAGTTTATTGATGATGATAGTGATCGGTTTTGCATTTCTGCTGGAAGGCTTAATGGATCTTAACAGATATTAATGGGGTGACCAAGCACCAGGGAAGGAGGCCTGGCAGGGCGGAGCTGAGCTGTGATCCTAATGAGGAGGTTAAGTGACTTGCCCTGTGGCGCTGAGTTAGGAATGAAGGGAAGCGGGTCGGGTCTCTGGGCACCGAGCTGTCCCTCCATGAGGGTTTATGGACACACTACACAAATGAGGCTGTGGGGCCTCACGCAGCCTCTGTGCTTGGACGTTTCAATCCCTTGGCTGGGAATGGAGAAGAGAAATGCATTGCATATTGGAATGTGGAAATCTCACAGGCCAGAGGGGTGAGCAGGGGCGAGGACTTTTTCTCCTAATTGGGGAGATGCTTCCTCCCAGCTAATCCCATTGGGGCTGTTTCAAGAGCTGGGAGTCAGTGTGGTCTGGGCAGAGGAAACTGAGCTGGAAGTCAGATGCCAAGCCTGTCATTTTAATTCACTTTGAGATTCACCAACTCTTGTTCTAAAACAGCAAATGAGGGGACTTGCACAGAGAATGTTCCAGAAGCATGCTTGAGTCCCTTGAAGGAAGAAGGGCCATCTTTATAATTAGGATATAAATAGATTACTAAAACTCTTTAGTTAAAAAAAAATTCAAAGCTATGGTCTTTTCATTGCCTGTATACATCATGGCTAGTTCTCAGATTCAGCCACATCTTCTTTTTCCCCAAGTGCCCGCAGTCAGGATTTTAATTCACTCAGGAAGGTTTTCAGCCAGCCGGCTTCAGCTCGCAACCATTATGACAGTGCTGACATCTCAGGTTTTTTTCAAGTTGGTGAGCTGGGGCTGCAAATGTGATCACAGATTAGCTCGGTGCTCTGCAGTTTCTCATCTGTTTCTCTCTTAGAAATCAGCAAGTGTTAGTGGATTAGAACTTCTTACAGGCCACCGAACAATGCAGATTCTGGAAGCTTCTCTTTCCTGGGACTCTCACTAGGCTATCAATTGAATGTTAGTCTTAAATTAGTCGGTGATTCTTAGAGTTGCTTTCTTGACTTGTTCTCTTTTTTCAAGTTTTATCTGTTCTCCCTTCTTTTCCCTGACAGTTATTTTGGAGGTATCCTATAATTTTATGTGCCATAGAAATAGAACTGTAAGCAAGAAGCCCAGTGGAATCAATTGCTTCTTGCTCTAAATAAGGCATGAACATTTCACAACATTTCAAAGGGAAATTAACTTGTGCTCCTTGCAAATGTTTTAAAGACTATTTCTGAAGCAGCCTGATTGGTGGGCCAGGTCTTTAAAAGTTTGTGCCATCTTGGCTGTTGATAACATCTGTGGCTTATAATGGGCCCTGAAAATATTTACAGATTATTCAGACCTTTTGAGAGAAGGAGTTTGTGGGAAATTTCTTTCTTCTTACACTCAGTCACAGACAAAGCCTTTGAAACTTGACCAAGAGGATCATAATTCCATCTGATGTGATTTCCCGGTCAGTCTGAACATGCCTTAAGTTTCTTTACCAGAGAGCGTGAAACTGAATATGTCAACAGTGAAATTTTCATTTACAAAATTGTTACTGGGGGCAGGAAATAATTGACCACTACTTAAAAAATTAATTTTTTTAAATCCATAGGTCATAGTTTTGCTTTCTTTCTCCAGATGATTTTTTAATGGATTCAGTCATCATCCGCAGGGAAAATACTTTTATCTGCATTTAGTTTTTAAACCAGAAGGATCTTTGCATCAAGAGATGTGAAAATATGAGATAAGAAGCGGGGGCCACTTTTCTGAAAGTTTGATGCCCAGCAAACTGCAGTTCTGACCTTTTTTCAGTTTTGCTGAGTCATACGTTAATGAGTACAATAGCAACGTGGTGGTGCAGCGTGCTGGGGGCAAAACCACCGTACTGGGTGTGTTTTTTTCTGTCGAATTCTGCTCTTTGACAGGTTATATGGCTCCTCTTAGTGGCCATTGTTGTCTACTGCAGCCTTGGTTGATGCCTGTGTGATTAGTGCTCAGATACCTCCCTGTATGCTTCCAAATTAGTGCATTCATTTTTAAAGATTTACTGAACCTCAGCCGGGCATGGTGCCTCACGCCTGTAATCCCAGCACTTTGGGAGGCCAAGACGGACGGATCATGAGGTCATGACATTAAGATCATGCTGGCTAACATGATGAAACCCTGTCTCTACTGAAAATACAAAACATTAGCCAGGCATGGCGGTACACGCCTGGAGTCCCAGTTACTTGGGAGGCTGAGGCAGGAGAATCGCTTGAACCCAGGAGGCAGAGGTTGCAGTGAGCCTAGATCACACCACTGCACTCCAGCCTGGGCGACAGAGCGAGATACTACATCTCAAAAAAAAAAAAAAAAAAAAAAAAAAAGATTTACTGAACCTCAGTTAGGAATGAAATACAAGTAAACATTTGATAGCTCCCAACACATAAAAACATTAGGAAAGGTGGAAAATTGATAATGGGCTATCTTCTTCATTTTCTCATTCATTTGGTCATGTATTTCTTTATTCGTTCATTCGATAACTGTTGATGAGGCATCTACAGACGTGCCAGGCACTGTCCTAGCTGTCAGGGATGTAGTAGTGAATAAGGCTGGCCTGGGTTCTGAACTCATTTGCCAGCTAACTACATGGGCACCTACTACTGTGTGTTACAAAGGCTCTGTATGGCCAAGACAACTAAAAAGTGTGCTGGTATTTTTAAGTGACTTCAATTAAATTTTGCCAAACCAAACTTTGCTAATTTATACAGTTCTGTAAATAAATTAAAAAATTTACTTATATAGATAACAACTAAATAATTCATTTGTTCTTTAGTAAACAAAATGTGTTGCATAGGTATTTTCAGCTGAAATGCAAAACTGTATTTTTTTTTTTTAGGGATCTGAACACCACACACACATATGGATTTGGGGGTGTGGGGTGGGGAGTTGCATGGGAGGACAAGAAAGTCATCACTTTCTTTCTTTCTTTTTTTTGAGATGGAGTCTCACTGAGTCGCCTGGGCTGGAGTGCAATGGCACGATCTTGGCTCACTGCAACCTCTGCCTCCTGTGTTCAAGCAATTCTCCTGCCTCAGCCTCCTGAGTAGCTGAGACTACAGGTGCCGGCCACCATGCCCGGCTAATTTTTTGTCTTTTTAGTAGATACGGAGTTTCACCATGTTAGCCGGGATGGTCTTGATCTCCTGACCTCGTGATACACCTGCCCCAGCCTCCCAAAGTGCTAGGATTACAGACATGAGCCACCTCACCCAGCCATGAAAGTCATCTCTTTCTAAGTTGGTACTGATTTGGTAGGAGAGGAGGGAAACTCACTGAACATGGGTGATCGTGACCTCTATTGTGAGCAAAACCACCAGTGAGCAAAGAGAAGGATTCAGGACTAGAAGTGGAAACGTGAGTCCATTAAATGCCAGAATCGATGGAAGAATAGATCACAATTCCAGCTCAGAAATGCTTAAGTGGAACCATCCCTTTGCATCCCCTGACACTTGGCAGGCATTCCTGTCCTCTGGAGAGCATTGCAGCAAATGCCAAAATGAAGGTCAAAAAGATGGAATGGACCTAGCACTTTGGGAGGCTGAGGCGGGCAGATTACTTGAGGTCAGGATTTGAGAACAGCCTGTCCAACATGGTGAAACCCTGTCTGTACTAAAAATACAAAATTAGTTGGGCATGGTGGCGGGCACCTGTAATCCCACCTATTCGGGAGGCTGAGGCAGGAGAATCGCTTGAAACTGGGAGGCAGAGGATGAGGCAGAGTGAGCCCAGATGGCGCCATTGCACTCCAGCCTAGGCCACAGAGGCAGACTCCATCTCAAGAAAAAAAAAAAAAAAAGGAGATAGAATTAGGTCATGGCCATCAACATGTTTGCAAGGTCCCCAGTGTACTATTTACTGTTTTGACTGTCCAGTCCCTTCGGAGCCACCCCCATTTGCTCATCCTCTTTCTTTTGCTTGGGGAGGGCAGCACACCCAGGAAATTCCAAGGAGGAGGACGTCAGCCGTCATGCGAGGACTTCTTGGAATGACAGACCCAGACAGTCTGCCCCTGGAGACAGCAGCAAGGTATGGTGATACTGTATCACCCCACGAACTTCTTGCTTTCTTAGTAAACCTGCTGTCCTTGTTTAGGGAAACTGTGGTCTGAACCTGCAAGGCAGCTTTCTAGATGACTTCTCGTGGCAGTGGGCCTTGATCTGTGCTCAGAATCTCCGGGCTGTTTTGGGAGCGGGTGTTGCGAGGAGAGCCTTTGTAATTAGACTTTTTATGGTTCTCTCCTCTAAACTAGACAAGCTCTAACGAAACCAAAATGGAACAGAGAACACATGGAATTGGCCGTAACCTTGCATCGTTAAGGAAATATTGAAAAATCTGAATTTCAAATTCTGCCATGGACCAGTGTCTGTCAAGCAGAACAAAAAGCAAGACAAATTTGTCTTTCTTTCCTCCTCCACTGCGAAAGCTCAGATTGCTGGGATGGAGTTGGAATTAGGTATCAGCTTTTTGTATAATCCGGAGTTACTGTAGAATAGAATCTTAAGGGAGGATGCTTACTGAATATTTCTTCATTGCTTGTTGTCAATCAGTATTTTATAAGATTTTAGGTTTTCCTGTGGCCAAACCAGACTCTTGCCCATACAGGATATTGTGAAAATATTCACTCTCTGGTGCCAAAGGGTCTTTGCTCTCAAATTCCTAAAGAGTCCAAAATTACTTTAAACTCCAAAACGTATACTTGTACGTCATGGACAAATACTGCTTGTTTTGGAAAACACATTGCTCTGAAACAGAAGATTCAGCAATGAAATAATAAAATATCTCAGTAAGTGCTGGATTGTTTTAGAAAGCTGCTTCCCGTCTGACATGAGCTCTAGCTGTCTGGCAGATGAGGGCTTTCGTTTTCTTTGGTTTACCTTGTAAAGACGGGCTAACCTAAGACCCAACAGGCACCGAAAAGAGAGCGTTGTACTTGGCCTTTTCCGTGGATCCTTGATTTTCCTTTTAAATCTCTGTTAGTGGGAGCAGAGATGTCCAGGGTACTGTAACGCCCATGACTGTGGGCCTGGGGAAGGCTGCACATTGAGCGCGGGGTGCCAGCTTTGAAAGCAGTGCTTTCTTCCCTGCTCTTTCTCTGGTCTCCCCGGGCTGGGCTGGGCTTCAGTTCCTTTCAGTAAATCTGTGCTCTTATGCACAAAACATGATTTCCCTGTGGTTGGCTAGGGTGTTTGAACCTGGCCTGTTCTGATTCTTAGCAGGAAGTGCAGGCAGAAGCCAGGCTTGGACACCTGCACATCCTGAACGTCCAGCCCCAGACTGTGCGGGATGACCCCATTACCGTATTTAATTGGAATGTCTGTGGATTCTTTTCTGACTTTAGGAGAGGACGCGTGGAGAAGAGTTGGAACACACAAAGAATGATCCAGACCGTGGAGCGGAGGAGGAGGACATGGGACTGGTGGGGCAGCCACAGGGCAAGCTTGCAAGGCCCAGTCCCTGATGCCTCTGGATGCCCAGGATGCCCACCTGGGCCAGGTCCAGAGGCCTGCCTGGGCTCCCAGGATTCAGATCTGAGACTTGTGTGACTGGAACGCACCTTTCCTGGGGATCTTTGATGGGCAGATGACCCCGTGGACTCCAGTTACCTCTGAGGTAGGCTCAGGCTCTAGAACGCCTGAGAACGTGCTGCGCTCAGTGTACGACACTATGCAACAGCAGGGAGATAGTTCCCCAAGTTAATGGTTGACAGTTCCTACAAATTTCAGCAGCTGACTTGTTAAACCTAATATGGTTCCTGTTTCTCAGGATAAATTGGTGGGACTTCACTGGAACCACAGGGATGTTTTACTGAAAGTACCTTTTTCCTTTTAGAAGTTTAAAGACGCTCCGGAAGGGGCCACACCCATTTCATCTAGGCTGCGGAAACCTATTGCGGTTTTGTGTATGCCAGCCCTGCCATTGCTGTGAGATCACGGACACCAAAGAGGTTTCCAGGGAGATACATGTCCTTTCCAGGGAGGCTTCAGCCACATCAGAAGTGCCTTGAGGGCAGGGGCAGGGGCTGGATGGTGTCTACGGCAGGCCTGGAGCTTCCTTCTGGACTGGTATACAGGAGGTGCTCAGAGAGGGCTCTGCACAGCCTTCAGCCATCAGCTTAGCTGGGAAGCATTGGCAGGAATTTGGGCAGATGGTGCTTCTAGCAGATTGGTAGCCTTAAGCAGAAAGGCTTGTGGTAGTAAAAGTAACTAAAAATGACAACCTGGCTCAGATGTGACATTGGCTTCCCTCTTCTCAAATGCTGATGGAGCCCTGTTTGGTGGCTTGCGCTCGTCACTCTGGGAATGCAGAGACAAGGACCTGCTTTCAGGCCCTAGCGCCCACAGGCTAGGCAGAGCTGTCCCAGGGCCGCCAGCCCTCCACAAGGGTGGGGCGCAAGTCCAGTTTCCTTTAGGGAACCCAGAGCCTGCTCCCCTAGAGCTAGGGCGGTGCTTTCTCTGCAACTGGCCCAGGCTTGCTGATTTCAGTAGGATTTTTTCCCAGAGAAAGCTGGTCAGGACATTTTGAGGCAGATGACCCAAGTTCTTGCCCCTGCTTTTGGGCAAAGGCAGATCTGATCCCATTGCCGAGGACATCCCCAAACCCACCTGTGCTCATGACTGACTTTGTAGAAGCCAGGGGCCTGCTACCAGGGGCCCTGCTACCTCTGCTCCTTGCTGTTGGAGATCAGCCGCAGGGTCAGCCCTGGGCTGCCTGATTACCTCTCACATTTCCAGTGCTACCTCAGAGCTGGCCCTCAGAAACTGTGGGGAATGAAGGGTGACAGGTCACCTTGAGAGTGAGAGCCACACCTTTCCTCTCTTCTTTTGCTGCTGGATTTTGGACATATTGACAGAGGAACAGGGTTTTACCTTTTTAGGGATGTAATAAAGGCCCTCCTGGAGCCTGATGAGACCACCAGCAGTCCCAAGTTCTGGGAATACATCAGCTGTTCCCCTGAGCAGTCAAAGGACACACACGACCTTTTATTCATCCATGCACCCAGCTGTCTGTCCATCTGTCCGTCCATCCATCCATCCAACCATTTTGTTGTACATCAGACATTCAGCATGCTTTCTCAGGGACATGCTGTGTGAGGGGCACAGGAGATATAAGTGAGGTGTGGTTATTGGCCTCAGGAAAGTCTCTTCTTTTTGGAGGAGTCTCTTCTGGAGTGTTCTACTGGAGTTTTCATCTCTCTTGCACCCATTACAAAGACGGAGGGTCCAATTGACTAGAAATAGAGTTTAGAGCTTCATCTGAAGACATCATGAAGCCTGGCCCCCGCCCTGCCCCTTACACATGGGCTCTCTGTGCAGGCGGCACAGACTATAAAAGTGGAGTTAAGTCTGCAGCCTACAGGATGCCCTGTGTGTGGTGTCAGACGTAATCTCTTTCACATGGGACGTGTGTGCTGTGAGCATTGTGCTATTTGAGACGAATGGTTAGTATTTTGTGTTTACATGAAAATAAATGTTTATAGATGTCTCAGGGGGTTGATGAAGTTGCTGTTCAATAAAAGAAACCTCTCAGGGAAGAACAGCTGATGTGCTTATGGCTTTATTTAAGGGCATATGAACCGACCATATGAGTTAGAAGGAAATGCCTGGAGCTGAGAGCAGTCTCCTGCCCAGTCCATGTCAGCTCTGAGGCTATGTGCAGGGGTCCCTTCCAGCAGTGTGCGCAGGACTCCCCATAATGCATGTGTTTGTGTTGTGTTGTGTTGTGTTGTTTTTATTAAGTCAATTTTATGTTTTGTTTTTCCATGTTCCTGCCTTTTATTTTTTAACAGCTCTATTGAGATATTATTTACAAACCTTAAAATTCATTCATTTAAAGTAATAATTCAGGCCCGGTGTGGTGGCTTACGCCTGTAATCCCAGCACTTTGGGAGGATGAGGCATGTGGATCACTTGAGCTCAGGAGTTCGAGACCAGCCTGGCCAACATGGTGAATCCCTGTCTCTACAAAAGTAAAAAAATTAGCCAGCCATGGTGGCATGTGCCTGTAGTCCCAGCTACTCAGGAGGCTGAGGTGGGAGGATTGCTTGAGCCCAGGATATGGAGGCTGCATTGAGTGGAGATCACGCCACTGCACTCCAGCCTGGGTGATAGAGTGAGACCTTGTCTCAAAAAAAAAAGTAGTAATTCAAGGATTTTTAGTATATTTACACAGCTGTGCAATCATCACCACAATTAGTACCCCCAAAATAAACACTGTGCCCATTAGTCTCTCTCTCCCCACTCACCTCCTCCTCCTGCCCTCAGCTGCTACTAATCTACATATAATTTTTTTTTTTTTTTTGAGATGGAGTATTGCTCTGTCACCCAGGCTGGAGTGCAGTCGTGTGATCTCAGCTCACTGCAACCTCCACCTCCTGAGTTCAAGCAATTCTCCAGCCTCAGCCTCCCAAGTAGCTGGGATTATAGACACGCACCACTATGCCCAGCTAATTTTTGTATTTTTATTAGGGAGGGGTTTTACCATGTTGGCCAGGCTGGTCTTGAATTCCTGACCTCGTGATCTACCGCCTCGGCCTCCCAAAGTGCTGGGATTACAGACATGAGCTACCATGATCTTGGCTCACTGCAACTTCTGCCTCTTGGGCTCAAGCCATTCCCCCACTTCAGCCTCCCTAGTGGCTGGGACTACAGGGATGCACCACCATGCCCAGCTAATTTTTGTATTTTTGTAGAGATGGAGGTTTTGTCATGTGAACCAGGCTGGTCTTGAACTCCTGCAAATGATCCTTTCTCCTCAGCCTCCCAAAATGCCGGGATTACAAGTGTGAGCCACCATGCTGGCCCAGTTTTAATTTTGACAACATCCAATTATTTTCTCTTGTTGCTGGAACAAAGCAACAAAGTTGCAGTAGTAAATAGTGTGTGTGTGTGTGTGTGTGTGTGTGTGTGTGTGTGTGTGTGTGTTTAAATGCATGCTCTTTCATTCCCATCTAAAAGGAGTTATTGGGGGAAAAATTATTTGACTCCAAAATGAAAGTGGGAAATCCACAAAGAAGTAATTACTTAGAACAAGGCTGTCCCTGGATCCCATTCTTCAAAGGCAATGGCCAGACATGCATGCCCTGTAGGAGTCACACTGTCCTGAGGGTTGCCCTGCCCCACACTCACCAGTGGGCTCAGGCAGGGCATCTGCAGTCACTTGGAAGCTTGCATTCCTGACCAGGGTCTGGCAGTGGTGACGGACACTCACTGCTATGCACGGAGCCTTCACACAGGTTATATTTCAGGAAGCAGGGTTTTGAGACTCTCCCCGCATCAGATATTTTGTTCCAGGAAGTCTTTGAGAACAAGCCATTCAGGATAAGGAAGGAATAAATTCAACTGGTCGGCTACTTCCAGAAACCTCAGGGGGCCAATGGATTATGAGATAATTTTTTTTTTTTTTTTTTTTTTGAGACGGAGTTTCACTCTTGTTACCCAGCCTGGAGTGCAATGGCGCGATCTCGGCTC